GAAAACTGAGCCAAATGGAAACCACATGTACCACACTCTGTCCACTGAACGACACCCCTCATTTAACACATTGAATACAAAAGTAGCTGAGTGATTAGTAAATAGAATGGGTACCTTGACACTTGGAGAAATAAATAGATCTAGGTAACTGAATTCCCTAGTGTGATTAAATCATCATGATAACTGTGATCCAGTGTTAACTAAACTTGCTGTTGTGGGTGTGAATCATCAACAGTACAGTGACCGTGTCAGCTATTGATACACACACTGGTGATATGATGAATTATTTGTCCTATCTAGCTGTTAGTCAATACTACCCAGGGCGGCCTTCACAGTCGTAAAGGTAACCGTGACCTTGACAGACCACAAAGGTGAGGTAAACTTTATAAGCCTGGCAGGCCTGCATACAGCCAGGTAAACATTATGATGTGTGTTTAACGTATTTTTCCTGACATGTTGGTGATGTTTACATATGGCTGACCACTAGTGACTTACTGACTTATAGGTGACATGTATGGAACATATCACCACATATACTTAGCCTTTGGCTATAACATTAGGCCTGGGACCAAACAAGTAACATACCACCAACTGTCTTAGGCCTGGGACCAAACAAGTAACATATCACTTCATGTGTAAGGCCTGGGACCAAACCAGTAACATATCACTTCATGTGTTAGGCCTGGGACCAAACCAGTAACATATCACTTCATGTGTTAGGCCTGGACCAAACCAGTAACAAACCACTAACTGTCTCAGGCCTTGACCAAACCAGTATCAAACCACCAACTGTCTTAGGCCTGGACCAAACCAGTAACATACCACCAACTGTCTTAGGCCTGGACCAAACCAGTAATATACCACCNCTTAGGCCTAGACCAAACCAGTAACAAACCACTAACTGTCTCAGGCCTTGACCAAACCAGTATCAAACCACCAACTGTTGTATGTTTTATAATATATATGAACAACATTGAGGATCTGTAGATATGTGATACTAAAGTGATAATTTTGTGTATTGTAGGACAGTATTCCTTACCAACAGTTTGAACCTGGGCACTGGCTACACAACCAGACCTAAGGCAGATGGTCTTCATCCTGCTGGCTTATCAATGACCAATCAGATTCTAGTCAGTTGAGAATTATCATTAAAACCCACAGGTAGCAATTATAAATTGAAAAAGCTGAAATTTGTTTCACAAATTGTAACATAGTATGGATAATCAAGCAAAACACACATATAGCTACCAGACTCAACAAATAAGGTTTGAATAAAGGAGGATAAAGGGTTCATAATGCGTATAGGGTTCATAATGTGTATAGGTTTCATAATGTGTATAGGGTTCACATTTAAACAGGGTTCATGTGTAAATAGGGCTCCTGTGTGTATAGGGTTCATAATGTGTATAGGGTTCATATTTAAACAGGGTTCATGTGTAAATAGGGCTCCTGTGTGTATAAGGTTCACATTTAAACAGGGTTCATGTGTAAATAGGGCTCCTGTGTGTATAGGGTTCATAATGTGTATAGGGTTCACATTTAAACAGGGTTCATGTGTAAATAGGGTTCCTGTGTGTATAGGGTTCATATGTGTATCATATTCATCTGGGTTTATACATGCCCAGGGTTCATTTGTGTACAGGGTTCATCTTTGAACAGGTTTGATATATACAGGGTTCATATGTGTACAGGGTTCATATGCGTACATGGTTCATATGTGTACAGGGTTCATATGTGTACAGGGTTCATATGTGTACAGGGTTAGATGTGTACAGGCTTCATAGGTGTACAGGGTTCATATGTGTACAGGGTTCATATGTGTACAGGTTTAATGTGTACAGGGTTAGATGTGTACAGGGTTAGATGTGTACAGGGTTCATAGGTGTACAGGGTTAATATGTGTACAGGGTTAGATGTGTACTGGTTTTGAGGTATACAGGGTTCATATGTGTACAGGGTTAGATGTGTACAGGGTTCATAGGTGTACAGGGTTAATATGTGTACAGGGTTAGATGTGTACTGGTTTTGAGGTATACAGGGTTCATATGTGTACAGGGTTCATATGTGTACAGGGTTAGATGTGTTCTGGTTTTGAGGTATACAGGGTTCATATGTGTACAGGGTTTATAGGTGTACAGGATTCATATTTGTACAGAGTTCATGCTTGTACAGGATTCATGTGTGTACAGGGTTCATGCTTGTACATGATTCATATGTGTACAGGGTTCATGCTTGTACAGGATTCATGTGTGTACAGGGTTAATGTATGTTCGGGGTCCATATGTGTACAGGGTTCATGCTTGTACAGGATTAATGTGTGTACAGGGTTGATGCGTGTACAGGATTCATGCTTGTTCAGGGTTCATGCTTGTACAGGATTCATATGTGTTTAGGGTTCATTTGTGTTAAGGGTTTATCTGTGTACAGGATTCCTCGGTATTCTGGGTCATCAGTTTAGAGAAGCAGGCAGGAGGGATTTTGTGGAGGTTGAATGACATGTATATTACTTTTGGTTTGTTTTTCTACAATTTCTCTAGATCTGTGTGGTCACCTTCATGTGGACTGTGTATTGTTTAGTGGATGATATGGCTCAGTAATGACAATTGTGCTGTGGGCAGCTTCAGTACAGCCCTCCTTTTGGAACCAATCATATCATTAGGATCCAATCAAGCTCCCCTACAAAGTCGGTCAAGTTGGTCAAGTCGGCCAGTGTATGGAGTACATCTCACCAAAAGCATCCGCCAGTGCATGGAGGTCAATGGATGGATCCCCCCTACTGATGGACAGCTAGTCAATACATGCTAATGAAACCAATAGCCACTGACCAGTGTGTGTCCACTTGTTTCTACTTCCCAATCACTCAGAGGTCAAACCAGCAGCATCAATGGATTTACACTGGGTTAGTGTAGCAGGTTCTCGCAGTAGGGTCACTTCAACCTATTCATCATCTACCCTCTACATCCTTGCTGTTTATCTATACCCTCTACATCCTCGCTGGTTATCTATACCCTCTACATCCTCACTGGTTATCTATACCCTCTACATCCTCGCTGGTTATCTATACCCTCTACATCCTCACTGGTTAACTATACCCTCTACATCCTCACTGGTTATCTATACCCTCTACATCCTCGCTGGTTATCTTTACCCTCTACATCCTCACTGGTTATCTATACCCTCTACATCCTTGCTGGTTATCTATACCTTCTACATCCTCACTGGTTGTCTATACCATCTACATCCTCACTGGTTATCTATACCATCTAGGTTAACCCTCTACATCCTCACTGGTTATCTATACCATCTACATCCTCACTGGTTATCTATACCATCTAGGTTAACCCTCTACATCCTCACTGGTTATCTATACCCTCTACATCCTCACTGGTTATCTATACCCTCTACATCCTCGCTGGTTATCTATACCCTCTACATACTC